CCCCAGAGTACATCTGGGAGAATGGCCTCCTCCTGGCGTTCATCACTGACGATAACATACGGGGGTGGATGCCCGGCGAATCCCACAAACGCCAGAGGACTGGAGGGGATGCGGGATAGATTTTTGAGTATATAAGGCCCAAGCGAGGACCACCGAGACATCAATCGTCAAGATGTGCCTCCTAAGAAAGCAAGCCTCGACAAGAACAGCGCGCCTCCAGCATTTCCTTACAATGCTGGCAACGACGTTTTGTACAACGAGAACGTTTTACACCAGCATGACTGACGATGTCATTTGCGCAAAATGCGCAAAAAATACTCTGACGACAGGCGAGGAGTTCAACGAGCACCACCCGGCCCGTTGGGAATCAACTCTTAAATGCAGCCAATGCAGAGAAACAGTGGTAGTGAACCGCAGGGCTACGGACTGCGAGGACTGCAGGGAGACGCTACTACAGAAGCTACCGAAACCAGAGCAGCCCCCCAAACGGCCAACACTACGTCAGTCCGCGATGCAAGACCGGGAATTCCAGGAGATGCTGGACGCAAACTGGTGTTCAAAATTCACGATCTTCGGCACGGACGAGCACACCCTGATCCACCAGGGATCAGGGAGAAGGAGCCCCAGAGTACATCTGGGAGAATGGCCTCCTCCTGGCGTTCATCACTGACGATAACATACGGGGGTGGATGCCCGGCGAATCCCACAAACGCCAGAGGACTGGAGGGGATGCGGGATAGATTTTTGAGTATATAAGGCCCAAGCGAGGACCACCGAAACATCAATTGTCAAGATGTGCCTCCTAAGAAACCAAGCCTCGACAAGAACAGCGCGCCTCCAGCATTTCCTTACAATGCTGGCAACGACGTTTTGTACAACGAGAACGTTTTACACCAGCATGACTGACGATGTCATTTGCGCAAAATGCGCAAAAAATACTCTGACGACAGGCGAGGAGTTCAACGAGCACCACCCGGCCCGTTGGGAATCAACTCTTAAATGCAGCCAATGCAGAGAAACAGTGGTAGTGAACCGCAGGGCTACGGACTGCGAGGACTGCAGGGAGACGCTACTACAGAAGCTACCGAAACCAGAGCAGCCCCCCAAACGGCCAACACTACGTCAGTCCGCGATGCAAGACCGGGAATTCCAGGAGATGCTGGACGCAAACTGATGCTCCAAATTCACGATCTTCGGCACGGACGAGCACACCCTGTGCCTGACCTGCGCCAAGGACCTGAAGCACCCGGACAGGCATGACGGACACGAGCCAACCCGGACCCCGGCGACCGGCCCTTGCGATAATTGCGGAGCGACAATTAACATCATCCGGAGCGCACGCGAGTGCGAGGAATGCACCCTGCGCCTTGCCAGAAGGCTAACGCATTATAGACGCCATCAGGTACGGCGCTAATCCGGGGACGACCTTCCACCGGCCAACCATTGGGGATGTCTGAGCGGAGCAACGACCACATGGACCGACCAGACGTACACCCCTTGTAAATCTAAGCACTTTCCTTTTGTTATATACTTATATATATTAATTTTTTTTACACATTTTTTTTTTACATTACATTTATACTCCACATCATACTCTTATACATATGTAGCGTGTAACTAGTGCGCGCCAATAGAGAGTAAGTCACACCTAGGCCCGCGCCAATAGCAAATAATATTAACACGCACCAATAGGGTGCGAGCGTAATTAGTAAATTAGGTACCTGAAGCGTGTACCGATAGGGCACTCTCCACGGTCCGCGCACAGGAAAAGGGCGTATATAAGGACGCCCGAAAAATGGCAAAACAGGTAGTCCGGGACAGCGAACTGAGGAAACCCTGTACTCGATTTAACTAAACATTTAAACCAGCGAACTCTGTAACGACGAATAAATCTTGTTCAACACAAACTGTAATTGTAAACTCGACGTAGTTGTGGCCCCCTGTGTAAATTAAGCCCCCTGTGGCGGCTTAAATTGCAGAGGCATCGTAAGAAACGATGTTCCCTCTAAGGGGGGAGATGTTACGTACGCAGATTAGCCGACACAGCAGCGCCGAGACATCCGCCTAGGGCTCACCCCCTTGAGATAAAATAAACGAACGCGTTTCGTTCTCGTGGGAAAATTAGGGCCCCCACCACCCAAAAAAGACAGATTTTTGGGTATATAAGGGCATGATTTTCGATGAACTTTAAAGTAGAGCCGTATTCCCTTTCAATTCCCTTTCAAGCAACCAAGTATAATACTAAACTCGTAAGTGTCGATAAGAAGTTGCATATCTGAAAGACCATTCAGCATGAAGCGTGCTGAACCTTTGGGAAAGGTTCAACTCTCTGATTGAAGCCAAATTTACCACAGACCTGATGGCATCCTTCAGGAAAAATAGCCTTGACTATGCAGTCAAAAAACTAAATAAAATACTGGAAAAGATTTGCAAACAAGCAATTCCCCGAAAGAAATCTATGGGGAGGCCCGTTCCCTGGTGGACGGGCACTCTTACAAATTTATGTAAGGACGTAATGAAATGTAAAAAAGCAATGACGAGAGCGCGCAAGCTGCAGCTACAGAATGCGATTCCTAGCTGTTGCACTAAATACAAGCAAGCCAGAAATCGGTACGTTAATGAAATCAGGAAGCAAAAGACCGAATCCTGGAAAAATTTCGTAAAGGAGGAGGGAAACCGGGAGCCATGGAGCCTTATCCATAAAATGCTGAGAAACAAAATACAATCACAGAGTAATGTGGGTACTCTAAAAATGCAAAACGGCAGCATGACGAACTCCTGGCAAGAGTCAGTCACGCTGCTGTGTGAAAAGTTTGCACCAAGGGACAATAGAGAGTCAGAGAACGACGCTCACAAAGAGATAAGAAATAAAAACAGCAAATACAAAAACCAAAATCTGAAAACAAATATTACCCATATTGAAATTAACAATGCCATTTTAAATACCAAAAATGAAAA